GCGGTTTGTCTTGGGAACTAAACGGTGTATCTAGGCCCCACTCAAGGACCGCTTCTGCATCAGATGGCACGTGCTTGGGCTCATGGAACTGGACAGTGCGATCTTTAAGGGTATAATATCCGTAATGATATACCGCAAGCGTCTGCGCCATCCCAATCAGCCCAGCCATATCAATGGGGGAGACAATGTACGTATGCTGGATGGCTCTGGTGAGCGCGACAGTGGCTCGTCCAAAGCAATCCTCTTTGTCTTCTACCGTTGCCCCTCGCCGGCCCCCACTGAGGAAACCACATCCTGTCTGGACCACTACAGCTATTCGTGCAGTGGCTCCTGCTGCTGACGAGGTGGTGGCAATCCGCAGACCACCAAACCAAGCAGCCTGGAAGCCATGCTGCAGAAGTTGCGTGTGTACTGCCGTGCGATTACACATTACGAGGAGCTGCGCCGTCGCTCCTTGGTTGAGGTCTCGATAACACTTTTGAAGATAGTTGAGAAATACCACGATATCCTCAATGGCCGCCAGGAGGTCTCTGGAGTATCTGGGTACTTCCCATAACACAGTACGGAATCCTCCCTGCCCAACCGTGTAATCATGGGGGACAAAATGGCCTATTTGTATGGGATCCTGATCATGTAGCACCAATTCCGGGTACCGGACTGCGACGATGGCTTTATACGTCAACAGGGACACTCTGGAGCTGTTGGGCAGTATGATGCCCCATCTATGCGGACCATCCAGGCCGGCTGCTTCAATCGTGGTTGTACACTCAGGGATGCCGAATTCTTCTGGCGCAGTTGCAATAAGCAAGACGGCGAGTATTGCAGAAATCAGGCAACTCTGAACATTCAGGTGGCTAAGCGTTTCCTCACTGAAAAGGCGCGCCAAGGAGATTGGTAGATGCTGGGCAGTTGTTGCCGTGACCCACGTCCCTGTGTGTGGTGCTTGGCCAAGGTTGAGTAGTAGTCGCGCCACTTCAGAGTCGTTGTCCTGGCTCGCATCCGGCCACAGAAGGGCAATTAACTTGGTGAGCCGGGCAGGAGGCAGATAGTCGCCAGGGCGATTCAAGGCTCGTAGCCCCAAGGGACGATGAAGAAGCTTCTGTCTATTCGCTGCTGCAGCCCTTCCCTTGGATAGACCTCCAAGTGTTTGCCTATGGTCACTGACAAATACTAGCAGTGCTGGTTGCTGGATTGCAGCAAGAGCGGCAATTTCATGGTAGTTGCCGTACTGTTGACTTTCATCCATAAATGCAAGCCAGACTTTAGAGAGCCAGAGACTAAAAGACGAGTACTTCATGGCCATTTCCGCCGTAGCAGAGCCTCCGGTCGCAATCAATATGCGTTTCTCCCTGGGAAGCCATTCGTACTCTTAAACCGGGTCCATACCCTGAACGGCCACGAAAACGGATTTTCATGGCCATTGGGTGTTTTCACGTCCATTGGTGATTTTCACGGCCAAATGGTGTGAATTTCATGCTTTTCACGGGTCGGGTTGACACGTCCAGGGTTTTCACGGCCAAATGTGTGAAATTCACGGTTTTCACGGTTTTCACGGCCAAATGTGTGAATTTCACGGTTTTCATGTGCCGGGTTGCCACAGTCAGAGGTTTCACGATTAAAATGTGTGAAATTCATGGTTTTCACACGCCGGGTTTGCCACGGCCAAAGTTTTCACAACCAAAATGTGTGAAAATCTTCGTTTTCATGGGTCGGGCTGCCACAGCCAAAGTTTTCACAGCCAAAATGTGTGAAATTCACAGGTTTTACTTGTCAGGTTATCACGGTCGAATTTTCACATCAAATTGTGTGAAATTCACGGGCTTTAGGGTTTTCACGTTTTTTTTTAATTTTCTGGGGTTCAAAAACTTTAGGTTTAAGTGTTGGTGCATTTTGTTTCGCATGGTCTTTGTTTGTAAATATGTTGTACAGCTCCGCTACCAATGATGTGGCCAGTTCCTCTGTGCAGTGAGAGTGAAAGATCTGGTAGAGAAACCTGTCACCAGACATTGAAGTCAAAACTTCCTGGGACCGTTTGTCTTAACCAAATTATGCAGACATAGTCAAAACTTCCTGGGATGTCTTAACCTTTTGCAGCCATTGAAGTCAAAACTTCCTGGGACTGTTTGTCTTGAGCAAAACAAAAGCTTAGAAGTCAAAACTTCCTGTTTGGCTTAACCAAAGCAATTACAACGTTTAATGGCATGTGGTTTGTTTATTTCACAGCCTACGCAGGTCAAAAAAACTCAAAACCCTGAAGTGTAGCTGGTGCGATATGTATATATCTATATACATAGGGACAAAAACAGGCAGGTGAGGATCTAGCCATGAAAAACAAAAAACACACATATTATTTGTTATTTGTACGGTATACGTGTGAAAACACAGCATGAAAACATTGGGTTTCACAGCTGAGAGATCGAAGGATGCAATTCATTTTTCCCAACGTTTCAAGCACAAGTTGCGCTCAGTCCCCCAAAGTCACTTTCAAATGCTCTGGCAATGAAAGTGCCCACCTTTGTAAAACCCGCTTAGGTGCCGTTTTGTAGTTCACAACATTCAGAACCTTCCCCATTTTTTTAAGATAGTCTTCATCCATCCATGTGCTGTAGGCAGCCGGGTTCGCACGGCGTGGGGAAAAAAAACAATGGTTCAACATGTGCAACTTCGGGCGCACCCGAAAAAGTAGCTTGTGTTCTGAGATAGCCTTGTTGGCCATCCTGATGTATAGCTTCAGGAAAAAAAACCCAAGCATTTCCAGGGATGATTTCTCACCTGGAGTGAGAAAAAAAATTCCTGCATACATCAAACTGACGGCCTTGTTGCTGGCCCACAACATAGAAGTGATTTCCGGGAATTTTTCAGAGTGTGGCTGCAAAATTTCCTCCAGCCATGATCCCACCACAAAAGAATCGTAACCACTACAACACAGTTCTGGATACTTACGGGTTTTCCAAGTAAGTTTTGATTTTGTCAGCTTTCGGATTCTTAAGTGGTATTTGCGCCGCCGAGCAAAGGATCTCAAAGACTCTGAAGCTTGTTTGAGCCTGGCTTTGATGGTTCCCCCATCAAAAACGTCCTGAACTTGCAGTATCACTTTCAGTGATGAACCTATAAGATCCCTGGCCACTCCTAAACTCCATACGTGAAGCATGTCAGGCATCATCATGCCCTGGTGAAAACCACGTAGCTGTGCATACGAAGGTGTAATTTCCCACGGAGGTGTTCTATACATAGTCTCCCACCATGCTGCACTTGGTTCCACATGGGTCAAACACATACGCATGTTATCACCCTTCGACGCATCACAGAGCCAGCAAACCTTCAGGGTTTTGAACGTGAACCATGAATTGTTTGAAACAGTTTTGTCAAAATACCTAGCCTTGTCAGTATTATAATGCCGTTTGAGGTTGAAAATCTGACCCGTCGCTTTCCAGTCTCCACGGAATCCCATGCAGTATACACGAAGATGCCTCACCTGGGCTGTTGTGAAAGATCTGGCTCAGAAACCCAGGAGTTTAACATGCTGTCGTCATATAAATATAAAGTAAACACTTGTTGCTTTTGAAAAAGTTTCTGAACTTCAAAATTTGAAACAAGTTATCGTTTATATACTTCAAGCTACAGTTCTACTTCCAAGCGAAGGAAGGTCACGGATAGGCAGTCCTTCATCACAAAGTTTGTTGAACGATGCACATAGCTGGGCTGTCACAGACTGCAACGTAAGATTCGTGCTACCATCAAAGGCATAAAGGCTAGCAGGAAGAACACACATTGGAAACCTAGATGATGTGCTGCGCGTCCGATGCTTCGAATTGTCGGGGGCCCACAGTAGAAACATCCAGCTGTCACCACCTAAACCATCAATTTCATCACCTTGGCTCAACAATTTGTTGAAGGAATCATCGCATTTTTGAATTGACACCAGGAATAAAATAGTGAATGAAAAAAATTGTGAATGGAAATCATTCAATATATTGATCCAGGAATCCATACAGTGTGACTCCAGCAGATGAAGATAGTGTAGGGTCTGATTCGATCACCGGGTGGCCCGGAAAGTCACGAAGCATGGACCTCCAATAGTTTGGCAGTTCACCCCAGTCAGAGACCAAGCTGCTCAGGAAACCTTCAGAGACCAGTGTGGCAGCCTGGGACCCAAGTACAGGACAGGCATACATGTGAGGATTTTCCCATTGTCTTATATACAAGTTCGAGGTCAACTAAAAAAAACATGAATAAATCAAATGAGATACAAAATCAAAGGGTAGGAATACCGGCCACTGCACAATCTCATATTCATCATCATCAGGGTCCTTTTTCATGGGTACCGAAATCCAAGTGATAGGGCATGGAAATGCAACACCAGACCGTATTGCGCGTTCGTGCAACCCTCGTTCTCGATCATTCCTCAAGCAATGTTTTCGAGCTTCCAAACAATGTGTTGATATATTGTTGGATCACAAGGGTGAAACAGCTAACCAAGACTAGATTCGCAACCAAGTTTGAATCGTATGTTCCAGCAATCAGCCGAGAATGCTTCACGCTGTTGTAGCCACAGCCAATGGAGTAGGCCAACCTCACAGAATGGAAATCCAATTTTCGGTCTCACTGATATGGCAAGCCTTCAGAATCTTCAGAAATCTTTAGAAGTGTATAGACAAGGAACGTTTCATCAAGTCGTTCTTCCAGCAAATGATGGGCTTTTCGTTTGAAGTCACCTGCGAAGGGAGTCAACAGAGTTTGAAATCTATGACTTAAATTCTAAACGCAGCAGGCCAAATAAGATCTTTGTTTCCACCACATTTCACAGAGCAATCTGCCGAGCGCTAGCCAACATGTATGGCACCAATTAAGGCTAGCATCCTACGTACTGGTTTCCAGCTGGTCGTCAAAATCTGACAGGCCATGTGCTTGGGCATCCAAGAAGCTCTCAACTGGATATTTTTTTCATGAAATTATTGATGTTGTGAGTTGTGAGATTGAAAAACTATAGTGTATGGCTAATTTGTGGCAGCCCTCTATGCACAAACCCTGCACCCCTACCGTGGCTCCCCAGAGCCATCCAGACTGGCAGTCAGAATTGGAAAATGCAGCGCTGCTGCCCAGGTGTCGTTCAGGACTCTGCCTCTTTGCGAAGCTCCGTGGCCACAGCACGAGCTTGGGCCCTCAGCATTCGGATCTTGCGTACCTGAGGCCGGCTTGACTGATCAAATGATTTTTCGATGGATTCAGATTGCATATCATTTCACAAGTTTGATTGCGAAATTCAAGTATGTAATTCATATGCATATCACTTAAGTTCTGGGGATAAATATATGGCCACGATACCTCCTCGGTGCATGTCGCTTCAAAGCTCGAGAGATCATCATCGCTCACGTCTTTCAACCTGGGCGGGATGACTTGTTTTTTTTTGTGGGGCGGTTCTGGAAAGGCTTAAATATATTAATGCCAAGTAGCTCATCCATCAGAGCCTCAACGAACTCCTTGGCTTCATCCAAAGAACTTCGAAGAGCATGTCCCGATGGCAATTCCAAGCCCACAGAGCACTTGGTGAATTCACCCTTGAGCTGGTTGCCTAGGTGGTTTGTTGAATGAGAAGAGAAAAGTACTGCAAGTCCTTTTTTGGAGGATGACTTGAGGAACACAAAAATTTGGCTATATATATATATAGATAAATATATGTATGTATATATATATATGTTTATTTATATTTCTTTCAGTTTTCATCCAAAGAACGAATAGCTTGTCGCTGCTCTGCCGGCGTCTTTGGGGTTTGCTGTTGAACTCTCGCCTTGGCCTTCGCCTTGGTTTTCGCTTTTGCTTTCGCAACTGGGGCCGTCTCAGCATCTGGAGCATTTGCAAGGTCAAGCAAACTCTTCAAAGCAGGGCGGTTCCCAACCGGTCCACCTGAGAAAGCAGAACCTGGCCCTAGATCAGCTGATCCACCAAGCAAGTGGCCCAATGCATCGGGGGTAGTCTCTATGGTGCTCTCAGCCGTGGCTGTGACCTGCGTGGTTTCACGTTGAGACATTTTCCCACCCAATGAGCACCAGAAGCGAACTGATTCTTCGTCATCAGGGCAATCAGGATCAGGATGGGGGGTGCTCTTTGTGATGATGGTCTCAATCTTCTTCCTTTTAACGATTGAAATAGTTTTTCACTCAAAGCTAGTTGGAATTAAACTATTCATTTGATGGCCTTTCTTAGGGAAATTTTGAAAAATTGATAGATGTAGCTTTCAGCGACTGGCTAAATCCACGACTGCGCATCTCTGCAATGGTCAGCAACTCACGGTTGTGCTCAAGCTCACCTGTCTGCGAACGGGTGATGCGAAGCGTGGTTTCCACGTTTTCAATGTTCTCCTTGCAGGACACCCATTGACGTAGCAGATCTTGCTTTTCCTGGGCAGGGCAAGGTAGTATTGAAAAAGGCTAGATAAGATTCACACAGCTAGAACATTTATGTTTGCTAGAAATATGGATTCACACAGCTCGAACATTAATGTTTTGAATACATTTGGGATATATTTAAAAAGTGTTTTGATTTGGTGCTCTGACTCTGGTCCTTGCGCCCACCCTGCCACAACTTGCACATATGGGGAAACTTGGCCGGATCCAGCCCCTGCATCTTTCGGGTCAGCCGGGCATGTGAAGCACGATGCGAAGAACTGTTGATCATGGCATCAGAGGTCTTGTCCAACTCAGGTTTCTTGTCCATTGGGCTCTTGTCGATGGTCGCAGGAGTCTTGGTCTCAGGAGTCTTGTCAGTCTTGTCAGTGGTCTCGGAAGGTTCGTTGGATGGCACAGGCTTGTCTTCTGGGACATGGGGTCCAACTCGGGCAGACTTTCTGGGCTTGTAGGACGTAGGAAGTCCCCGCTTTGCACGAACAACTTCTTGTTGCTCATCATGACCTTGTTCTTCATCATCATCAGCAATCGCACGAAGAAGGTTTGGTGCAATCATGTTGAGCATGTTGCACATTTCTTCATCACCACCTTGACCACACAACTGCTTGAGATTCCTGAGGGATGACACCATAGTTTCCATCTTCTTGTCAAAGGATCGGTCAGCTACTTCCGAAGCAGATGGGCCCAACCTAAGTGCAGTGAACCCCGGTATTACAAACACATTCGTTGAGGAAATGATCTCATTGTTATGTAAAGTAAAGATAAATAAAGAGAACAAATCCCTAATCCCTTATGTATGTAAGGCAGATGTTCACTTTTAGTTGTTAAAGTATGTTAAGCCTCCATTACACCGAGTCAAAAAAATACATAAATATGGTGTATATATATATATAATACGTAAACACTATATAGGATATATATATATATCTAATATAATATATATACTATAATAACATATAATATATAGAAGATATATACATGTTTCGTACAACACTGGCAAGCTGAGCAGCTCCGATGCAAGGTCGGATGCCTCCTTCGATCCACGTGCAGCATGGCCCAGATCGAGACAGGAGGCCTGTCGGCTGAGATGCTGTTGCCCAAGCTGCAAAGTTGAGCAAGACCTGGGACTGGAATGAACTCAAAGTTGTTGAAGTTAGTGGAGAGTCACATTTTGAGGGGGTTCCATTCTATCACACAATATTTCACTGATTTTTTTCTTCAGTTTGCAATGAAAAAGAAAGCAAACTTCAAAACAAATCATCACTTGAAGACAAGACACAACAGCGAGCGCAGATTGGGGTTCGATGCATCGGTATCCGATGAATCCACACGCGTAGCCTGGACAATCTTTCTGCTAGACTTTCTGGCAGGGGTCGGCACAGTTGTCTTCCAGCTAGAGGGAACCGCGCCTTTAGCAGCTTCCACTTCCGGGTTGACAACAACAGGGGATCGTGTAGGCTCCTCATCAACGGCAACAGCCTCAGGCCTCCCCATCACTTCACCCTCATGCTCAACGGTTGCACCCGCAGCTGGCGAGTCCTGATCGTCATCATTCCCCTTGCTTGTAGCTGACACAGCAATCTCATCAGCTTCATCGATAGGATCACCCTCAAAGTCTTCCTCCTCTTCCCCCTCACAAGAATCCTCTCCCTCCTCAGGTACCAAGGGACCACCATCAGGTTTCTCATTTTCCATGGTAGGTCGCATAGACTTGGACTTGGCATTCTGGGGATCTAGCTCAGGCATAGACTTGGCGTTCTTGGGCCCAGGCATAGAATTGGCATTCTTGGGCGGTGGCTCAGACTTGGTGGAAGCGGAGGTTTCGGGACGTTCCTTCTTGACTTTCGCAAGAGCATCCCTCATAGCAGCACCCTTGGGGTCAGGACCCACCACTTCACTCAAAAGCTCACAAGCCTCTTGGTATGTGATCTGGTAAAACTTCTTGACTTTGGCAAGGTTTTCCCAGCAAAGCTCAAAGGGCGGATCAGTCACCTCAGTCACCTCCATCTCTGAACTCTTGGCCTTCTTGGACTCAGTAGCGTTCACCTTCTCCTCAGCTCTTTTGCGCGTGTGTCGCACAGAAGGTGGAGGTGCAGGTGGATGCTGGGGAGGTTCAGCATGGAGGTCGGTGCGCTGCATTGCAAGACACTGCTTCTTGGTCTTCGCCATGAGACAACTTGGAAAAACAGTTTCAACCTAAGAAACTCAAAATCCTTGAAATGGAGTATGTTACAGCATACAGATTTCACAAAGTTCCTACAAATTTTCGTGATTTTCGTGCTTTTCGTGATTTTCGTGATTTTCGTGATTTTCGTGCCATTTTCGTGGTTGTTTTCGTGATTTGTGAATTCACGTTTTTCACGGCGTTTTCATGTCCAATCAGCCGTTTTCCATGTCCAATAGCACGCTTTTTCACGCTCTTGATTTTTGTTGGTTTTGTTGAAATCATAAGGAATGCGAATTGCCATGAAATTCGCATGATTTTCATGGCCGAACAGCCAGGCATATAGATGTGCTTTCATACATCCAGGCTGTGTGGAAACCCAGTTTTGAGACTATATGGTCGCCTCAAATGTACCCCCAAGCAAAGAAAGTTCACCAATGGTAAAATTTGGCATCATGCCGATGGTCGAACGCCAAGTCGATGCAGGATTGGCTCCTAGATGGGAAATCAACTCTCAACCGTTCAAAATAGCATACCCCAAAACAAAGAACGATGCTTGTTGGAGAGGTTATGAAAAGGAAAACTACACGAGCTTTTGCACTACCAAAGGTTCCCTGCATTCTGGAATGGAGATGTGTTTTGCACGACCCATGTACGTCATCGCTTTCCAAAGGTCAGCCTAGGGCGGATGTGAAATTAACATCATGGTGATTTTATGTGTATGTATATATATATATCTATCTATATCTATCTATCATAGATATATATATATATATAAGCAAATTTCGCTTGAATGAGGGCTTCAAAATCAACTGACCGTTTGGACCACCCAAAAAATGTACAAATTCAAATGGGTACAAAATAAACGGGTTGGAATATTGGTTTATATATATATATCACATATTTATGGGGCTCAGGTAAAGTTATAGGACCAAGCCAAGAAACATCATTCCAAGCATCATCAAAAATGGATGGGAGGCAGAACTTCTCAAAGAGCTCCAGGTCAGTGAGCCCTTTGGGAATGTCAACATGTTGCACCGGTCCCGGCAAGGGTGCCTCAGAGTTCCGGGAAGTTCGGCACTGTGTTTGATAGTTCCGACACACAATGAAGAGAGTGAATACATATAGTCACATATCTATTTTCATGGCGGTTATATATATATATATTATATATTGCTTGTTCGTGAATGCAACCTTCTTTCATTGTGAAACCTTGACATCGTGAGACGGCTATTTTGGGGACTGGTTCAAATTATCCAAGGATAGCTCATGTTTTTCTCTTGTCCAAAACCGTGGATTAAAGCCGAAACACATGTCGATGTTCTGCAGTCAAACTCGCAATGAAGTCACCAAAAGCAGCAGGGTAATGCCTGATCGAGTGGATGGATGTGCGGGAAATTTGAAACCAACTGGATTTGTTTCACAACGCAAAAAAGTTGAACAGGATATTTGTTTGGGAAATGTGGTACAGGAAACATTCATGCTAAACAATCATCATAGATACGCAGACTCCTTAAGGGCCTTTGGCACACCCACACGTCTACGTTTTCCACTTCGATCAACATACCGACGAGTCGTTGGCACAGTTGTGCATTGTTCTTGATCAGTTCGGGACATAAAGCCAGCTCTTTGAGAGATCGCTTGAAGGGTTTCCTCATGGTTCGAATACAGCTTGTGGGGTTTCGGACTGGATGATCCAAAGACACCCATGTACATGGTGCAGCTGAACACCTGGCAGGGATTTCGCATTAGACTTTTGTATATATACAATATGGATCTATCTACCTATCTATTTATATATATATGTACATATATATATACACAATGGATACTATATAGGATATATGTCCCTTGTATACACCTAAGTAAAAATAATACGTGAAAAGAGTATGGATGCCTTCCCATGGAAACTTGACAGTATACCACATGGCTACCATGAAAATAGAACAGCTGTAATGGATCTTGTTTTCTCGGGGTATTGAAAAACCTTTGATTCCCTATATACCCCAATCATTGGTGTCTTGATTTGTTGGAACCCAGGCCTTCACAACACCCCATAGCCATTGAAACCGCGGCAAATCTTCCAGAAAGCTGTTTCGAGGTTGCTCTAATACCCATTTCAAATTGCATATGGAGGCCAATAGGATTAGGAGCACTGACCGTGAGGACAACATTTGCCAACACGGACAAAAGTGTATCCAGTGTTGCCCCAAGGCGTCAAATATGTTCTGCCCGATGTGAAGCGGCACCTGAGAGGCCGGCAAAATTTGCACAGGGTGTGAAATTCATGCAGCCGAAAGCAACATGTTTGGATATGAAAACTAATTATGTGGCTAGTCCAATCCACATGGACTCGTGTTTTCTTGTCAGATACCATATAATCGAATATTTCCTTATTTCACTTGTACATGCCCATACTGCCAAGACACATTGTACTCATCGAGCTGCAGTCAGGCGCTATCACCACAGTGGAGCCGGGCTCACATCGGAGGATTTCATTGCAGGCCAGCCTCCCAGCAGCTGCGCATGATCGATGGAGTAAGAGTGGACAATTCAATTGGGATATACAATAAAGGATCCCACATGTACTGCTTTGTTGAATCAGCGAATCATGAATTTCAGTGGCCACTCACATGAATTACAATGAAAAAATTCAGACAAAGGACGCAAAAGCTGCATTCCCTGTGAGATCGAATGCCCGCTTGTCCAGTTCCCAGTCAAACGAAGTCCCTCGAAAACCAGCCTGAGCACAGCGATCACTGCAGTGTGTGGCAAAGGCCCCAGAAAGATATAGTCTGTTGGGTATACAGTTGGTGTACATATCTCCCATCTATTCACAATTGATCATTGAATAAGTGAATATATACATTGTATTGATTATGCATGGATCTTTTTTGTACGGATATGATTTGATATATATATATATGATATTTGTATGTATGAGCCAATCACTGGATGCAAATTTGGCCAGATATCGGCCCAACTCGATTATTTCTTGCAATCTGTTCGTTTTCACACATGGCACCCATGTTGTACCAAGAAGCATCACGTAGGGCTCGCGAAACTTCACCACGACCACTAAATATCTCAACAAACTGACGGTCCTCGGGGGGAAGCTGTGTGAAAAATGAAAAACCAAGCTCAAAACATACAAGTAAAACAGAGACTTACAACAAAAGCACACATTTACTACTTAAGTTTAGGTTCTTGCCGGTGAGGAATTTGCATGTTCCATTGCACCAGTAGGATGAAAAGTATCATCGCTGGAGGAGCTCGCCATTTCAGAGCATCGAAAACCACCATAGCTAAGATTCAATTGGGTTAGCAGTAACCTACTTTTCTTGATCAAAATGGAATTCTGGACAGGACAAGTTTCACATCTCAACTTTTTCACAAAATCCATTCACCACAATGGTTGTGAACAAATGGGTTGACTTTCATTGACACATTTCAGTGCCACCGCAAAGGTTTTTCCACGCACCGCAGAGCAGCCTCTCCCCAGGCCATCCGTGATGATCCAAAATGGAAATATTTCAATTTCAGCATGGTGCTGAGCAGTCCCAAAATCCTAGTTGGCCCATGGGTTTTCAGTGCTTCCCTTTGGGATGAACTTACGACGTTTCAACTCCTGGACCGAAACATCCTTGAGGAAATCTTTCTTTGCAGAACTTTCGTCCCACAAGTGCTGAGCAGCCTCAAAGCTAAGATCATGTTCATTTCTGGCCTCCTTGATAAACTTCATGCGAACCTGGTTGTAATTCCACCTCTTTCCATCCTTACCCAAATTAGTTGCCTTACGTTTCGCACTGGGCTTGGTGGATTTAACCTTGGCCTTCGCCTTCGCCTTCTTGGCTTTCACGGTAGGTCCTGGAACCTCATCGTCATCGTCCTCAATTTCATGAGGCTCGTCATCACCTTCGGCTTCGCGGGCTTGGGTGATGGACTTGACATACTGGGACTTCAGCGGGAAAGCATTGGCCGTTTCAGCCGACATCTTCTTCATGGTGTTCAAAACCTCTACTAACCAGGAAAGTCGGCTGGCTTAGAAACATGTGTATTGTGTTCCCATTCGCAAAGTTCACTTGAACCCTGACAGAGAACAGAGAGAGAGATATATATATATATATGTGTATAATATAATATATATATGTATGTATGTATGTACATATATGTCTGTACACACATATATATATATATCTACAAATAAAAATGTGAAGCTTAGTAAAACAAGTAGCATGGTCAGGAAGTACATAGCGATTCTGATGTGGCTCTGGTGCTGCAGGATCATTCAGGGAACTTGTGGCATCCTTGTCAACCTCTACTTTGGGATTCTCAGTAACCCCCAAACCTTGAGCAGCTTTCTCAGCCCTCTTTCTTTGGAAGTAAAGTGCAAGGCGTTGTTTCGGGGACAGCGACGAATCCGAACTAGATGGAGTATGACCCACATCCTTTTTGTTTGACACATCTGGAGATTCATGTTCCAAAGTATTCCCTTTGCAACCACCTTTGCAACCACTCTTCATTGGGGTTTCCATCTTGAGATTCTTGAGCTGGCGAATCAACCTATCCATCTTGGCCCTTGACGCACTAGATTCTGTGGAACCAGTTGCACCGGAAACGCTGCTGGCAGGTGCCGTTGACGAGAGTGATGAATCGAGCTCTTCAAGGTCCGAAGTAGTGCCCGCATCGGGCGCCTCGCTGGTCGACTCATCATCATCCTCATCAACATCCTGGGCATGACAGTCCAGAGATCTAGGCAGATATCCCAAGATATCCATGTTGTAGGATGATCCAATGCGATATTCTACAAATCATCATGAAAATGTACTCATAACAAACTTTCTATCTCGGATTGAATTGGTACAATTCCATTTCATCAGGTTGAGTAAGCATGAATTTCACATTGCACCAACTATGCAAGATTTTCATGGCCAACCCACTGCATTCACATAAATTTATTACTGATCCACTATAACTGAATTTCATGTTGAACCCACAGATTTTTTGACAAAACACAGATTTTAGAACAAAGAAAAATATTTTTTGACAGGGGTCCACTTTCTTCCCCGAAGATGACTTTGGAGCTAGCTCCCCCCAGCCATAAGAACGGGCGGTTCTCTTGACCTCAGTGAGTTTGTCATACTTCGAAGTTTCCGATCGTCGCATAAGTCGGCGCAGCCTCGAAACCTAAGTTCCGATGGCAGTGAAAATCGAGATCCCATTACATTTTGCTTTGGAACCAATTTCCACCAGCCCTTGGTATAGATGATCAGCTAAAACAGGTATCCAGTTAATTAAGATTAACCCTATATATGGGTGAACGCCGAAGGACCAATTTCTTGATGGCCACACCATACTTCAATGCCCAGGACTGGACCGCCGGTATGTCGGAATAGATGCCAGCTGGATAGAGTTTCAAGTCTTGGAACACGGTCAGAATTGCTTTCTGGAGAGTGTATGCCGAAACTCGTGGATTGCCATTCATCCCCTTGATAGTTGCTAGAACCACCTGCAAAGTGGCAGAAACACATTGGTCTCAGTGTTCATTGTTGTTTTATCCATGAAATTTAGAGAGATGGATGGTCAGTGATTGATATAAACCTACAAATACACAATATTATACTAATATAATTGCAGATATAAATATAGCTTGTATATAGCAATTCAAAAATAATGGAAACATATTTGAAACTGGGAATCCCCATCCTCACGGTTCACAAGGATATCCTTGATCGAGCACCCGTGCATAGAAAACAGCTTCCCCGACTTGTCGACCAAGAGTGTCATGCCAACCTCAGTGAAAAACTTGTGTTTTTTTTTGGGATGGCAGGTTGATGTGAATGCATTTTTGCATTTTTCAGTGCAATATAAGAAAACAATGCCTCCATGGAACTTCTTTCAACTTCGGGAGTTTCGAGTAGGCTTTGACAAAAGGCAAGTGGGCCAGTTGCGAATGCACCTCATCCCCATCAGCCTTTCCCTTGGGGTTTGACATCTTGATATCCCAAGTGACTGTAAGCCTAAAAGCTGAGGGGCAGAGAGCTTCAATCCACCGCAATCTTTCAATATGGATGGATCCTCCCACAATTTCAACATGCCAACATGACCCCCAAATTGAAAAAATCACACGACATGTAATCCCAGTGCATGGATCCCCGGATCTGCGGCGGAGGATGCGTACCTTTCGAGTGAAAGAAGTGCACCTGAGCAGGATGATCCGATTGAACTCAGCACTTAACCTCATGATTTTCACCACGAATTCACAAACTAAAAAGTTTCTGCTCTCGATCCAGGTTTTTCCAAAAATTGACACTTCCTGGAATGTGATGGAAAAATGTTTCACAATGCGTGGCGGCTTGGCAGCTAGGCAGTTTTCATTGAGCCAGGGCACCATTCCACTGGCAACAACCAGGCACAGCAGTATCCAGATACCAGCCATCAGCGCACAATCCGATGGAAGGCGATTGAGATCCACCATGAAAATCATAAACATGTCATTCTCTGAAACATATCAGGCGATGTGCTGTAGTATCATATAGATATATCTACCTACATGGTATGTATAATGGTGCCTTGCAACCATTGGCTTGAGGAAAACTGTTTTCATGAGAGCGTTTCTCACTAATCGGCACACCCCACGCTGTGCACTCCCCGGGTTGAAAAAGGTGGCAGTTGCACCGGGCGATTGGTTTCGCAAAACTGTGTTTCCAAAAAAACTAAAAGAACCAGGTGGCACACAAATCCAAAACAGATTCATCCAGTTTGGCCTGTATTGGCCGGGGACAATTCACTTGAATAAAAGCATGACCAAAAAAACAAATCCTGCACATGCGCTGTGATTTCTTTGGTGTCTGTTCAGTGGAGGAACACGTGCTCACATATTATATCGTGTATATATATATATCGTATAGAATATTATATATAGTATTATCATTACTATATAAATATAAACACATTTATTTTTTAACATATTAAATAAATAAATAAATATATATATATATTTATTTATTTATTTATTTCCCCATCTAGATATTTTTATATATTCACCATCTAGATATCTATATATATATATATTCCCCATATAGATATGTTTCTCGCTGAAGCCTGTAGACATCCATAGCAGTGAAGCCAACACAGCTCACATTGACACCAGGTCAGCTAAAGCGTATGTTGTATGCAATACAACAAAGTAGAGTTCCTAGGCGATACCTTTGACCCAGCCCTCCCACCCAAGAAGCCATGGCTAGCCATGAAAACTAGGTTTGCCTTTGACCCAGCCGTCCCATGCAAGAAAACATGGCTGGCCCAGCCATGAAAACTAGGTTTGCCTTTGACCCAGCCCTCCCACCCAAGAAGCCATGGCTAGCCCAGCCATGAAAACTAGGCTTGCCTTTAACCCTCCCATGCAAGAAAGCATGGGTGGCCCAGCCATGAAAACTAGCTTTGCACCCAGCCCTCCCAGGCAAGAACAGATGGCTGGCCCAGCCATGAAAACTAGGTTTGCCTTTCACTCAGCCCTCCCATGCAAGAAAACATGGCTAGTCCAGCCATGAAAACAAGGATTCCAGTTTTCACGGCCAAATGGTTTTTTCACGGCCAAATGCCTTGAACGGCCTCCGGCTCCCTTTTAAGGAGCCAAAGGGCTTCCCAGGTCAGCAATAACCCTATTGCGATCACTGCACCGAACATCAATTTTTGTTGCATACGCCTCGCCTTTGCCTTCCTCGATGCGACCTAGTAACCGTCCAAAGGCACTTCGTGCGGAAAATTCAAACCCAAGTTGGTTCAAAAATCCTTTCTACGTAAATCCCAGGACCCACACCTAGATGCAGTTCCTACAACCTACGCACAGCGAAGTTTACGCAAACGCGGTTCCCACACACAAGCTCTCAGGTTCGGAGCAGCTCAACCCTTTTGGACGCTCTCTCAGAGGTGCTGTAGCAACAAAAAAACACACGAACCAAAGCAACAAGCAAGACAAGCTGGACTAAACCACGTGACTGTCTCAGACTACTTCTTTGCAGTTTCCTTGGCTTTGAGCCAAAAGCAACCATACAGCTTGACTGCAACAATTGTTTAAACGTTCAAGATCCGAAGATCTTTCTCAAAAAAACTCTCTTCAACTAACCAGAGATAGTCAACATCGACACTGCGGTCGCTGATGCCCCCTCAGACGACCGGCAACCCATTTTTGTCATCTCACTATGATGACGGGTGCTCGGTCTGTTGTCATCATTGAGGGACATCGGCAACCACCGTCTCGATGTTAACCTGTCAACCAACAAACTCAAAACGACGTGTCGACTATTCACAGTTACACACACAACTACTAACAAGCAGCCACTCTAAACTCAGTTTAGTCCAAAGTTCAAAGTTCAAATCGGTTCGTCACAGTGCGGAAACTTTCTATGAAAGTTTCCCATAAAAGTAAAGTTCACAGAACGCAACTTTCGCTGAAAAATTCTGTGGGTTTCTGGAAACTCCATTCCAGGTTCTTTGAATTCATAAACACTTTCTATGCATACGATTCCACTTGCATTCAAATGTTCACATTCTTGAATTACTTCAAATGCACTCATGCATTCAAACGTCCTCAATTCAGATTGATTCCAAATGCATGCAAACGTTCTCAGCTCAATCCTGAACTCCTCAATGTCATCAAGACATGTCCGAAAAGTGCTCCAGGCTTCGCATCTATTTACAAATATTCATGGTTACCATAAAACAGATCCCAACAGATACCAGTCTCACCGCATCCACGAATGTTATATCAATGCAATATCCAAACACAATTCTGAACACTAAGATGACACTACCTCAATTGGTCGGGCCAATTGATGTAGTCTCACCCGAGCATTCTTCCGGTGACCGGAGTCACGAATTCCAAATTGCTTCCTCAAAGAATGCCAGCATTGAATTCTCCAAAGCAGAATATGCACGCCCCACCAAAGCAGAACTCGCACACTGTACCACTTCAGCTCGTTCATCCAAATATGCACAAAGCCAGAAGCTTTCCTCGCTCACCAGCCAAAAATACCGGATATTTCCACACCCCCTTTCGAGGGAAGCTTCGTCCATCCATGGCGTCGTTCGAACGGATACCCATACAGAGCTAAAACTGTTTCAACCCCCTACCAGCACCCCTAAGAAGATCCGCCAGGATCAAACACTTCCTTACCCTCAAGTTAGCATGGTTACGCGTCGCGTGACTTCAGCTGAAATTCAAAACCAGTCCAAACAAGGTCCTAAAAGCGTGGCATTCTTAGGCCTCCTCTGTACATGTATACATCCCGGGAGATGATACTTAGCTCCCGTGTGAAACACAGCAAGGTCACACGCAAAAGGTCAGGAGCTCTTCCATTCGGAAGACTTCCAAAAAAAAATGGAAACGCAACACTTCATCTAGCTAGATCCTAAAAGGTTTTCATTGCTACCCTCTTAGATTACTCGCAACAAACAACGCGTCCATTGTCTGTCCATACATCCGTTTGTTTGAATTGTACGATCTGTCTCATCCTCTCTGACTCTCTGTGACATGACTGCAACAGAGCATCAACTGCTGTACACGCACCTATGTGTGTGTTTCAGTGCACGCCCCTCGCTCGCGCACACGCGTACGCCGCGTTACCCAACGCTAGCGCCAGCGACTTGTTATACTTACCAGTCTCGTTCCAGTTCACGTCATTCAGCTGCGCATGTTCCTTGCACCTGCATGCCTGGAAACGCCTCAACGGTTTGACAAACTCCTCCGAGTCGCACACAAACCTCAGCCTCTTTCCTACAGGTTTACCTGAGCGCGATACGTACCCAAGTTTGCACAACCTCACAACTGCTTCCTGTTTGAGACCTAGTTCATTCAACAAGTCCTTGACACCTGCATATGACCATAACACATTGTTCACTGGCCATTCCAAGCTGAATGTATCAGCTTTCTTGCGGTACGACGGCAACCTTTTAAGAAGGGGTTCAAGTTCAGCGAACCGAATATCCTCAGACCCTGCATCCTGGCGCAAGTACCGTATTGGAGATCCAGACGCACACGGACAGCTCGCATGAAAATGTACGTGCGGACGCATTCCAAGAGCCGACGCATTAGCACACAAGCGTTCAACTCGTTCCAGCACGCTTCGCAAAGTCGATGCTTCTTCCCCCTCAGCGGTTACTCCAATGTACGCAAACGCTGTGTTGTGTTGTGACAGTGCACTCTGTTCCTCACAGCAAAACTCAACAAAAATCAATGCAATCGTTTTGTCACGAGGTTTCAGTGTATGCAAAGGTTTGTCAGACCCTTTCAAACCTTGAGACCCTTCGGTTGTTGCTGGGCTTCTCGGCTGAAATCCACAAGTCGCTCTATGAACAAAGTGGTAACTTGAACACTTAGTTAGGATGTCTGACAGGTTTATAGGCCCTTCAATCCAACCAAGCTGAATATACCTCTCTAATTGTTCACGCAACCAAAAAATTCTCACTTCCGTATGCCTTGACTTGCGTGGAACATCAAGTGCTGAAAGCAACTGCTTAGCCGACTCGGAGTCGGTGAGCATCAAAATAGGAAACTTCCTACCTTCAAATCCAGCCAAGTTCCCAAAAAAATCATTCACCATCTTTCTCACTAACGGTAAGAGACCCATGGCTTCCTGTGCCGTTTCCTGGATTGCAAACATCTCGGATTCGCAGCTTGACAGTGATGTGCACGTCTGATGACGTGAGAAACCTTTCACCAGTGAAGATAACACGAAAATGAAAGCTCCAGAAATTCCCTTTCTCTGAGTCGCCCTCATAGGTGC